TTTTTTTAAAAAAAAAAAAAAAAAAAAAAAAAAACCACACACAAAAACACATCTAGAAATGGTTTCACTCAATTCCCTAAATTGAGAATCTAAATTTCATAAAATTCCCCTACCATGCATTCCACATCACCAACACATTCCAGGGAGTAGTCCACACCTCCACCAGTCATCTCCATTAGCACTTGACTAATGGGTTCATCGTAATCCTTGGGATTGACGAAGTCAGTAGCTCCAAACTCCCTGGCTTTCTCAAACTTGTCTGGGTTGATGTCAACAGCGATAATCATTTTGGCTCCTGCAGCCTTGCAGCCCATGACTGCAGCCAAACCCACAGCTCCCAGACCAAACACGGCACAGGTGGAGCCCGGCTCAACCTGCAGGAGATGACTTCAGTAAATGGGACTCATTTTGGACGAGTGTTTACAGCTCGTTACTAAAAACAAAAACCTTTCAGTTCTAGCAGCATACACACCTTAGCAGTATTAACAGCTGCCCCATACCCAGTGGGGACCCCACACCCAAGAAGGCAGACTTTATCCAGAGGAGCATCAGGGTCAACCTTAGCCACAGACATCTGATGAGTCACAGTGTACTCAGAGAAGGTGCTGATGTCCATAAACTGCCGCAGCTTATGCCCATTACAGGTTAACCTGGAATTGGCCAGTGCCATCTCTTTTGAACCTATTCTACTCCTGAACAAGATAGAGGGAAAACATGAACCTCCTCAAGAGTACGCATCAGCACACGGTGGTGATGAGAGGTGAGAATAAAGCAACATTGCTCTCACCAAGTTACATCACACTGGTTTGTCTTAGGGCTCTCACAGAAGCGACATTCTCCACACTGAGGAAGGTAGAGGGGAATCACCTTGTCTCCTGAGGAAAAATAAATGGTCACACGTTCTGCTTTGGCGTATTAACCGAGTGCCCGCTGATGGACCACATTTACTTGCATTGAGAATGTGAAAAATTTGAACACCACAATTTACAATTAAAACCACCCTTTGGACAAAGGCAATCAAGTCTCTTCCTAAAACCAACCTGAACACCATGGGAACAGCTGTGGCTGATGTCAAGGTCAATCTTTTGTTCACAGAGAGAAGTTTAATTTGTTAAAAACTGACCTGGCTGAAATTCTGTGACTCCAGGCCCAACACTCTCGACAATGCCGGCCGCCTCATGGCCGAGGACGATTGGGAAAAAATCCTTCTCCACAACCTTGAACAGGCAGTACAGGTCTGAATAGCACAGCGCTGTTGAAACAATCTGTAACCAC